ACTGTTGGCCCTTTGATTAGCAGCCAAACTCTCAACCACTACACCATGGTTAAAGTACTTGGGTGCTAACTGAAATGTCAGCAGTTCAAACCCACCAGCTGCTCCGCAGGAGAAAGATGTGGCAGTCAGCTTCTGTAAAGATTTACAGTGTTGGAAACCCTATGGGTCAGTTCTACTCTGTCCTATAGGGTCTCTATGAGATGGAATCAACTAGAAGGCAATAGGCTTTATTGATCTTAAGGTGAACAGAATGATTGGGAGCTCCTCACACTGAGGAAGGGGTCTAAGCCACAAGTAAGGGTGCAGTGCACACTGGATAGCAATAAGTAATAATGCACAGCTGTTGTTGTTGTTGTTAGGTGCCATTAAGTCAGTTCTGACTCACAGCGAACTTGTGTACAACAGAACGAAACACTGCCTGGTCCTGTGTCATCCTCACAATCATTGCTATGTTTGAGCCCATTGTTGCAGCCACTGTGTCAATCTTGTTGAGGGTCCTCCTCTTTTTTGCTGACCCTCTACTTTACCAAGCATGATGTCCTTCTTCAGGGATTGGTCCCTCCTGATAACACGTCCAAAGTACGTGAGATGAAGTCTCACCATCCTCACTTCTAAGGAGCATTCTGACTGTACTTCTTCCAAGACAGATTTGTTTGTTCTTCTGGCAGTCCGTGGTCTATTCAATATTCTTCACCAACATCATAATTCAAAGACATCGATTCTTCTTCACTCTTCCTTCATTGTTCAGCTTTCGCATGCATATGAGGCTATTGAAAATACCACAACTTGGGTCAGACACACCTTAGTCCCTAAGGTGACATCTTTGCTTTTTAATACTTTAAAGAGGTCTTTTGCAGCAGATTTGCCCAGTGCAATATGTCGTTTGATTTCTTGACTGCTGCCTCCATGGGCATTGACTGTGGATCCAAGTAAAACGAAATCTTTGACTGCTTCGTAATTTTCTCTGTTTATCTTGATGTTGCTTATTGGTCCAGTTGTGAGGATTTTTTCTTTCTTTATGTTAAGGTGTAATCCATGCTGAAGGCTGTAGTTTTTGATCTTCACAGCAGAACAAAGCAATTCAGTTGAACCAAACTAAAAATGATAAACTTGGTTACCAAATAGGAAAAGTGGGTAGTCTTTGGATAGCCTAAAATCTCTCTAAGTGGGCCAAATGTGAAGTCATCATTGTTTGAAAACTATTGGACACTAGTGACATTTTTAATACAGTAGCTGTGCATATCTTCTTCTCATTTCTTAAATCCATGTCTTATCTTCCCATAAATATTGATCAAAGAGTATTTTTATTTAATTTGAAAATGTGTATTGATCTCTTACTACTTAACAGGGCTATGTGCTGCTATCAGAATGAATAGAATAGAATAAATGAATAGAATGCCATTCTTTCCCTTAAAGAATTTACAATGCAATGGGTATATAAGACAAGGCACAAATTACCACAAAACAAGACAAGAATCTCCTAGGTCACTGAAAAGCTGAACATGGATGGGCTTTCCAAAGATAGAGAGATCTTATATTCTTGGTTGTGATTTATCTAAATGAAAAATGAATGTTGCTAAAGAGCAATGTTTTTATGGAAGGGGTGCTTGAATTTGGTTTTATTTCCCCATTTCTGTTTTCAGTGCTTGAGAGAGTCAAGATACGTAATTTTAACAAAGGCACTGGGGCCCTCTAGTGGCCACTTCACAAACTACAGACAGACATTGCCTTACCTAGAGAAGCCAGCCAGTTTCAAAAGTGTCCTGTTCCTATGATAGCATCAACACTCACCTCAAGGGAATATGAAGCTTTAAAGTAAAATACCACACATCCCCCTGACATGCTGTTTCACAGACCCAGAAAAAGTATTGCAAAGTGGTAAAGGGTATGACTCTGGGATCAGATGAACAGGTTCAAATCCTGGCTCTTCCACTTAATAACCCTGTAACATTGGCAGGTTAATTAGCCTTTATGTTCCTCAGTTTGCTCTCCTGTAAAATGGGGATAATAATTATATCACACTCGTGGGGTGTAATGAGAATTAGAAGAGAGACTACTTAAAACATTAAGAGTGATGTCTTGTCACAGTAAGTGCTCAATAATTTTATTAGTAGTAGTAATAGTTTTTTTTAATGGTTAAAAACTGCAGTGTTGTTTATGATTCCTGAAATTAGAGTAGAAAAATGTTACTTAAAACTTAAAACTTAAAATAAAATAAGACTTCAGTAGAAAATTAGTAAGTATAATACATGTATAGATTTTTTAAATTTTTTTATTGTACTTCAGGTGAAGGTTTACAGAACAAATAGTTTCTCATTAAACAGTAGTACACATATTGTTTTATGACACTGGTTAACAACCCCACAACACGTCAACCCTCTCCCTTCTCGACCTTTTATTTTTGGTGAAAATATACATAGTCAAAGATACGCCATTTGAAAAATTTCTACAATTATATGTATAGATTTGGCTATCAGAGAGATCTGACTTTAATTCCCAGCTTTGCTGCTTACTAGCTGTGTGTCTCTGGGCAAATTATCTCACTTCAGAAGCTCAGTTTTTTCAGATAAAAATTGCAGTTAAGGATACTTAACTCACAAAGTTGTTTTAAGGATTATATGAAATAATTCATGTAATGGACTTAAAGTACTTGTTACAATAATTCATCAAGTAGTAACTATTTAATGCAATATTATGTAACATTCGGTGCCAACATTATATGCAAAGCCATAAGAAGTGTAAGTCCACAATCCATGTTTGCCATGGCACTATGCATCTGAGCGACAATTTCAGAAGAGGGAGCAGTTACTTTGAATGACCAAAGAAGAGGCTGGATTCTGTCTGAGAATTGAGTCAGAGCACCGTAACCAAGACAAAACAGGGATTCAAGTGGGAAATTTGGGAGGGGATGGGGATGCTAGAGCAAGTCCGGGTCAGAGTAGAGGATAGGTCTGTGCTCTGAACCAAGACGTCATGGCTGGGACTTAAGGTTAAGCCCCAAAGCTGGCTGACAGCCATATTTTTTTGAAAAGGCCAAGGAGTAAAAAGAGTAACTTGAACAGGCACCAAGAGGCGTGGCTGGACTTGGGTACTGAGGATTGCTTTCCCTAGGACTATTTGAAGTCTGTGTTCCCCTCCCAGCTATACCTCCTTCGGGTCAAGGGGGACACTAGTCTAAGGTTAGTGAGTAAAATGTCATCTGACTGCAGTAGATTCAGAGGGCATTCTGGGTAGGACTACATCCAGGCAGCTCAGAGGTTGGAGTATCTTTCAACTAGGTTGATGCAGTTTGTTTTTTTTTAAATCAAATTCTATCTTTCTGAATTTTATTAATCATTTCCAACTTCCTTTTATTTTAGTAAGGGGCTTTTCTGCCTCTGCCAGCAATATTTCCTTCCAGCATGTTTATGGATTTCCTTTCACAAATTTTGTTCTCTATGTTTTCTTTCCACAGTGCCTCTTACTTTATCTTTCTCTTTCTAGATTTCCATATTCTACAGAAAACATGGAACCTATAGTATATGGGACCACTAGGCTTTTAAGTGCTTTTTGAGTATATAATATTCTCAAAGTCTAAAACCCAGTTAAAGTACCATTAGTACTACTAATGCACTGCGTTTGCAGACTTTGTGGATTTAAGTATCATAAGAATCATTTCTAGAACTTCCTGGTTTCTTGATTATACTCTTCGCTGTCTCTGAGTATTAAAATGGAAGCCTCATAGTTTTAAGTATACTGTGGAATATTATGTGTCAGGGTTAAGATTTCCACAGTGGTTTTATTTTTCCCCAATTAAACTTGTCTGGGATGCCAGTCTCACCCATAGGATGCACCTGAGTCCCAGGCACATTTGACAAACGGGAGAATTCCCAAGCTGACTGATGAACTCTCACCTCTTTAGCAGCCTCTTTGTCATTCCAATGAGGTTGTTTTACCTCTCAGTCGTTTGGGATCTTGCCCTCATTTCATTACTAATTAAACTCATTTTTACAGAGTCATAAATTAATTATTTGAGGTAAAATTACTGAAATCTGTACCTCATTCTACAATCTTTTTAAACTCCGGGCAATTAAATTTAGAGTTATCGTGTTAATCTTTATTAGTATTTGGAGGAGATGACTGACGGAAAATTAAAGACTTCAATATCCTAAATAGTAGCACAGGCTCTGTTTTAGAGTTAGGTTGAATTAAATTAAAAAATGATCAATCCATCAGTAACTTTCTTCCATTGCCTTGCACTGCTAATATGCCCAAGTTGGAGCTGGTTAGGAAGTCTGCTAGGATATCTTTAGACTAGAGTAACTGGAATCCAACTCAAAGTTCATTCGTGATTTTCAAGGCATTTTCATTTTATCAACTCGTAATGTCACCTTTCTTTTTTTATGAGGCCGTCACTGGCGAAAAATGACAATGTGAGGCTTACTTTCTTTTTTGTGAACTAGTACGTTTGATTCCTAATTGTTGGTGATAACTTGAATTTCATCGAATGAACACAGTCTTGAACATAATCATCAAGAACAAGGACCTTGGTGTTACATAAATATTTTACCCTTTTGGATTAGTAAATGCTTTGTTAATTGGCTGATCCACATTTCTATTCAAAAAGCATCTTAGATAAACGAAGCTTTTAAATAACACCCCTAGGAAAACTTCGGCAAACATACTGTGCTTTTTGCCATAAACATCTCAAAATATCTTAGAGAAATATTAACAAGTAAACCTTTAGAAAAGAAGATTAGTTCTGGTTGTCAAAACCCATAACTCATCTTTTCCCTTGGGACTGACTGACTTAAACAAAGAAGTATAATTTGTTTTTGCTGTCTGCTGTACCAGGACTGTAGATAGCTACGCAACTTCTATGATCCTGCAGCCTGAAGCCGATAACTTTTACCAACTCATACCTATGTGAAAGAGCAGATCTGTTTTCAAATATTCCCTGTTCTTGGGGCTTGCTTTTATATTGGGGTGAAATGAACTAACAGCTGGCTTGTTCTGTTCAGCTCTCGGGTGACTGGGATCCACGAGATGATAGGATGCATTCAGAGACGAGTAGATCATCTGACGAAACAGTGTTCAGCGCACAAGGAATTTGCTCTCAAGAAACAGCAATTAACAGCCTCAGTGGAGGGTTACCTAAGGAAGGTATTTTCATAAAATGTATCCTCCTAAAGCTAATATTTAAATGCAACTGCTCTAATTCCATTTGCAAAGGTAGCTTTTTCTCATTTGGTGATAATATGCATAGGGCAACTGTAGTATATGGGCATGATGGGGGCATAGGGGCTTGTCTCCTTAGGGTTCTCTTTTCATTCCACATTAGGTTCTATAATTGAACAAAACAAAGTTGTAATTCACTCTTGCTCATCAGCCATCTTACTCCAGGTGCAAAAATGGATACATAGCCCTATCTGCTCACACCAGCCCTGAATATATATATACACAAAAGTAGTTCTCGCTTTGCACAGTACCATGTTAACTGAACCGTGAACATACTGGAATTATATCCTCAACTTGCGTAGTTCTGTGCCTGCTTCCAATATGCACGTTTCAGTTAACATGGTGCCATACAAAGTGAGCACTGGCTCTTGATAGATAGATCAATATTAGCTGATAGCAAAAATTATGAATTTTAGATTTTTCCAGGTAATAACAATGCCATTATTATACTTTGTAGAACTAAGCCAGCGCAAAAGAGATGGTCATTCTGAATAAAAACCCACATGAAGATCGCTTTTGCAAAGTGAATAAAATGGGTTGGGATGGGAGAATTTTATTTTCTATTTTCAAAGGATGATAAAGTCAGGCAGCTACTATTTGAGTGAATAACAAATTATCTGTAGGTGGGATATATAACAAAAACTGGTAATGTATCAGTGATATTAACACTAACAAACTTGGCTGCATAGGCTAGACTGCACATTTTTAGTGATGTTTTCGTTTGATTCAATGGATGCATATGCCTGGATTTACACATGTAGAATTAGTAGTTTTCACATGAATGGGCGTTAAATATATGTCTTTCCTTATTTCTATAACTGACATCGAGGGCTAGCCATGTGTTTATTTAAACTGCCTCCCCACCTGTTATTATTTCAAAAACTTGGGAGTTTGAGGCTTGTTCTGATGCCTGGACCTAGGGAGATTCCAAGTGTGGTGCAGCTGTGGGGTGCCCACATTCCCTAGAGCTTGAGACTCAAACTAATTTGGTGGTGGTGGAAAACACAGTAGGAACTCAGACAGCTGTTGCTACTTGTCTTATTGCCAATTCAGAGTCAATTTGACCCCAAAGTATAAACTGTAGTTAGAGCAAAGAGATGAAGGAAGTAACTTGAATGGAATATAAACCACTAAGGGTTCCTTTATTCATTTATTCACATGTGCTGAATAAATTCAACAATTAAATGGGTTTAGTGTGTTCTTGTGTTTTACTATCATATGAACAGCGTTGGGCGCTGTCCCAGAGCCCCTCGGCCCTAAATACAGTAATCCACAGGGTAGGTTCTGGTCTGGACCTGCAAATTGTGTCCTATTCAACTTACAGTGGACGACTGTGAGTTAATTAATCAGAGGAATTCATCTCTGCAGCTGTATTGGCCAGTGCATTATCCTTTCTGAGAAAAAGTTCTTAGAGGATGTGAATGATGGCTTATATCTCATTACTGTTAATAAAAGAAATACCTTCAAATATATACCCTCTGTGTGTGGGTCAGTAGGGTTTCTAAGGAGTGGCAGGTGGATTCCACCTGCCGACCTTTTGGTTAGCAGCCGAGCTCTTAACCACTGTACCACCAGGGCTCCACCTCATGTGAAGGAGTGGCGTTATTAATTTAAATATGAAATTCTGAAATATTTAAAATTAGTTTTTAAATGAAAATTGACAGCATGTATTTAAAATATATAGAGTAATATTTATCTTTGCTACATATATGCATATGTATATGCAAATATACAGTACTAAGATAGCAATATATTTTTTATTCTTAAAGGTTGAAATGTCAATTCAGAAAATCAGTCCCATACTTTCCAATGCAATAGATGTCAGTTCCAGCCTGTCTGAATCAGAAAAGATTTTGAGTAAATATATGGAATTGGATATCCAAGTTAAGGTAAATAAAATAATAATAATTATTGTGGTTATGATTGTATAAATATAATTTTTCTTCTTCATATTCAGTAGCTAGAAAACTTAATCCTAGCTCCCTTGAGGGTTGCAATTCAAAGTTGATATTGTAGCAAATAATGACTTAAAAATTCATACTATTAATTAAATTATTTATTTAAAAATTTTTTTTTGTTGTATTTTAGATGAAGGTTTACAGAACAAATACTTTCTCATTAAACAGTTAGTACACATGTTGTTTTATGACATTGGTTAACAACCCCACGACATGTCAACACTCTCTCTTCTCATTCTTGGGTTCCCTATTACCAGCTTTCCTTTCCCCTCCTGCCTTCTAGTCCTTGTCCCTGGACTGTTGTGCCCCATTAGTCTCGTTTTGTTTTATGGGGCTGTCTAATCTTTGGCTGAAGGGTGAACCTCAAGAGTGACTTCATTACTGAACTAAAACGGTGTCCGGAGGCCATACTCTCGGGGTTTCTGCAGTTTCTGTCAGGCCAGTAAGTCTGGTCTTTTTTTGTGAGTTAGAATTTTGTCCTACATTTTTCTCCAGCTCTGTCCGGGACCCTCTGTTACGATCCCGGTCAGAGCAGTCAGTGGTGGTAGCTGGGTACCACCTAGTTGTACTGGACTCAATTGGGTTGAGGCCGTGGTAGTTGTGGTCCATTAGTCCTTTGGACTAATCTTTCCCTTGTGTCTTGTTTTCTTCTTCCTTGCTCCTGAAGGGGTAAGACTAGTGGAGTATTTTAGATGGCTGTTCATAGGCTTTTAAGACCCCAGATACTACTCACCAAGGTAGAATGTGGAACACTTTCTTTATAAACTATGTTATGCCAGTTGAGCTAGGTGTTCCCCAAGACCATGGTCCCCACAGCCCCCCGCCCAGCAATTCGGTCCCTCAGGGAGTTTGGATGTGTCTATGGAGCTTCCATGTAAATTATTTACATTTGGATGTGCATTGATTAAGGTGTTTGAGCTTGCTGAAACTCAGCATTACTGCCCAGAATTAGGCACACATTTGACTCTTTCTCCATGCCTGGTTGGTGTTAACCACTATGTTTAGGGGTGCCAGAGGAAGCAGACGGGGTGCTTCTCTAAGACTTTCTGTGCTTTTCTGCTACAGCAAATTGCAACAAAAAATTGCCAGAAGTAACATGCATTATTGTAAGATTCTGGCAGGCAAATAAAAACACAACCTGTTTGCACGCCAAATGTTCAGAGACAGAAAATGCACCTCTTCTCCTTAGCAGCTTCTCTAGTTCCCTCCTTCCTGTCATGTGGGATTTAGGTAGAAAGATTCTTGTTAGCACTGAAGTTACCTGCCTGCTTCAGCACGTGTTTAGAAAGGCGAGTAAAGCACCCTCTTCCTGTCTCTCCCAACCAAAAAAAACCAAACCAAACCCATCGAGTCAATTCCAGTTCATAGCAACCCTATAGGGCAGACTAGAACTGCCCCATAGGGTTTCCAGGGAGCACCTGGTTGATTCAAACTGCCAGTCTTTTGGTTAGCCGCCAAACTCTTAACCATTATGCCACCAGGGTCTCCCCCAGGCAGGCAGAAAGTTGCCTTGTTACTCGATCAGTTCTCAGTAGAAGAGCCTCAAGCAGCCCCCTCCTTCTGAAACTCACAAATGAACCAATTTTTAAAAAATAATTTACTTGATGACGTGTTTTTTATTCCTTATTTAAAATAAAAGTTATGTCTGGACTCAATTTCATTTTCTTTTATTTAAAAATTTTTCAGAGTGGGGGAGGAAATTGCATGGGGAGAAACTCCCTTGCTCCCCTCTTTCCCAGAGTGCATCAAGCAGCACTTGTAAATTAAAATTACCTTCATTCAGTGGAGTACTTGGGATGCATATTAAATGCAAGAAGGGACGCAATCCCTTCTTGCTGCAGATGAGGGTGAAGCTTTTTCCTTTCATTTTTGCTTGATTCCTAACTTGGTCTCTACTGAAATTTTACATGGCTTTTTCTATAGATAGCAATTGGATATGCAATGCCTACTCATCATCCATCTAATTAGCGGCTAGTTTTCACAAGCCAGAAATCACACTCAAATGAAAACATAGGAGAGCATACCCAAGCACATCAAAATCACTTACTCTTTTAGGTTATTTAGACCTAATGTGTAACATTTCACCTACACTTGTTTAAAAACCCTTCTAGATAGAATTTCAAATAAGACTGCATAAGTATAATTAATATCATTGTTTTGTAAATTAAAAAACAAAGAAATAGCTTTTGTAAATTTGCCCAACTCTTATATAACAAAATTAGTTTAAGAATTTACCAGATCTATAGTTTAAATTTCAGAAAGCAATTCTCAAGTATAATTACAGTTCTGGTATTTTGTTTAACAACCTTTTGCACCAAACAACTTTTCTTCTGTCTGTGATACAGAAAACAGAATGCTCTAAAAAAGAAGTGTAGCTGATAGAGCTAAAGAATAATTTGAGACAATTTTCATTTTACACTGCCTTTATTTTTAAATTTTGAATGATGTGCCTTTCCTTTTTTGAGGAGAGGCTTGGTACAAGTTCAATTAATAATCATAATAGATGGATGTACAGAAGGTAATGAAATGTGAATGTTCATGATTCCCCTGTCAGCTTCTGAACTCCTGTGCTTTGCTTTCATAGGAAACATCACATGAATTAGAAGCAGCTGCAAAAATCATGACAGAGAAAAATGAATTTGGACCTGATGAAGTGGCGTCACTTCGTTCTCAAGCTAAGTGGCTAGAGGAAGAGTTAAAAATACTTGGCCAAAGCATTGGCTCCAGGTTACGAGTCCTGCAAACTCACGTGGCATTTCTAAAGTCATCAGAGGAGGTATGGTACCTATATGCTGATCATCTTCAGCAAGGTAGCCTCTGCCTGTCTTCCTTCTTACTGCTTTCTGTGGGAAGATAAGTTCTGCCATGGTGGCTAATTCCATATTCTCCACCCTAGTGCATGAACTCACCTACTTATAAGCCCTTCTTTATTCTTCAAGGCACCATACCAGTCAGTTGCCATGGAGCTGATTTCGACTCGTGGTAACCCCATGGGTGTCGGTGTAGAACTGTGACTTGAGTTTTTCGATGGCTGATTCTTTGGAAGTAGGTTGCCAGGCCTTTCTTCCGAGACACTTCTGGGTGGACTTGAACCTCCAACCTTTTGGTCAGCAGCCGAGCACGTTAACTGTTTGCAAGACCTGAGGACTCAAAGGCACCATAAAGAGTGCATATGAACTAGCACAAAGGCTCATAGAGTAAGTTGTTTTACAAAAAAAAGTGATACAAATATGTGTGGATATACACATAAAAATAAAGTGGTTGTATTAGAACACTTTTTACTATGCCCTACAAATACTTATAGTATCCTAAAGAGAGAATAAAATTATTTAAAAATAAGTCACTTTCTAAACCACAGATCTCTTTGAATAGCTAAGCAATTCATGTGGTTCATTTAAAATACCCAGAACTAGAGATCTGTCTTGTTTGATGCCTTTTAACCAGTCACCTCTGAGAGCTTCTGAGGCCTTATTCTGAAAGGGTTGTACTAGATGTATTAGTTTTCTATGGCTGCTGTAACAAATTATCACAAATTTAGTGGCTTAAAATCATACAGACTTACTGTCTTATTACTTCTGGAGGTCAGAAGTCCAAAATGACTTTCACTGGGCTGAAATCAAGGTATTAGGGCTATGTTCCTTCTGGAGACTCTAGGGGAGTTCCTTGCCTTTTCCAGCTTCTAGAGGCTTCCTGCATTCCTTGGCTAGTGGCCTTTCTTCCATCTTCAAAGCCAACATCATGGGATCTCCAAATCTCTCTCTGACCTCTGCTTCTATCATCATATCTCCTTCTATGTCTCTGACTCTGCTGCCTTCTAAGGATCTTGTGATTACATTGGGTCCACATGGATAACCCAAGAAAATCTCCCCATCTCAAGATCATTAATGTAACCCTTAAACCAGATCTGCAAAGTCCTCTTTGCTATGTAAGGTAACATAGTCACAGGTTCTGAGTATTAGGACATGGGCATCCTTGTGTGTATGGGGCGGGGGTGGGGGGCACTATTTGTGTCTACCATACTAGATAATCTTTAAAATTCCCTCTAATAAATGAGCATTCCATCTTTCAAAAGTCCTAGCTTCTTGAAGATAGATTTAGTAACAGAAAAGTCCTAATGTCCCACCCGCATTTAACCCTAGTCTTAGTGTACTCCAGGTACACACAGATCACTCTCCTGTTCAGTGAGATGGGCCTAGCTTAGTAGGAGGTAGAACCAGCAAGGTCCGCTCAGGGATAAAGCCAACCAAAGTTAAATAGTGTGCTAGTTTTTCATTTTCTCACCTCTGCCCTACTAACAAGGAGTTCCTGGGTAGTGCAAACAGTTAGTTGACAGTTTGAATCCACCTAGAAGTGCCTCGGAAGAAAGGCCTGACAATCTACTTCCAAAAGATCACAACCGTTGAAAACCCCGTGGAGCATAGTTCTACTCTGAAACACATGGGGTCAGCATGAGTTGGAATAGACTTGAAAGCAACTGTTCTTTGCCCTCCTAACACCCTCACCCTTGCCTCCCATCACCACCATCCCACATATACCGTCTCCCCTGTCTGGTCTCCTTTTATAATATTCTGAATTCTTAGAACTCTGAGGGAGGTCTGTGCCCAGTCCCTGAAAATCTCAAGTAACCACCATCTCCATTTCCACATCTTTATTTGATCTTTCATCATCTCTAGCTTCTTTTTAGTTCTTCTTCGCCCTATACTCTCGCAGTTCAGCAGGCATGACAACTGACATGATTATCCTGTTGATGAACATTTTTATTCAGAACTTGAAGTGGGAGAAGGAGGTACGAAGAAATACTTTCTCTCTGTCTCTTCCCTGCCAAAACTGGACTTTCTTGGTATCCAGTTAAGCATGCACTTTCGTGGCCCATGCGGAACTTTGTGGACCAGGACACTCCCCAGGGCTGAGAACTTAAGCTTCACAGATGACACTTTGTCAGAAGACCCTTATGCCTTGTCATCTTCCCTGCTTTCACTAAATCTGTTTTCTACCTAGAAGAGCCTCCTGTCCCTCCAGTCCTGGCAGTGCTCCCAGTCTGTCACTGCTCACCTCCACCATGGCTTTCCTTCTTTCCTCGTGGTCATTCATTTTCACTTCAGTCTCCATCCCCTCAACTGCCTGCCTTCCACCTGATTAACCCAGCCAATTTCCAGCACTACCTCAATACGACACTGTTTACTCAGTTTCCAGACGCCACTGTGGAAAGTCATACAATTGTGCTGATTGGCGCTGGTACCAATCAGCTTAGTGGGAGGTAGAGCTGGCAAGGTCCACTTGGGGTCCCTGCCTCAGCTGGGTACCACATATGCTCCCTTGTTGGCTCCCATTCAGTAGCTATTTTCAAACATCTTACTCCAGTTTGTATCCTTAAATCTCAGCCCAGGTCCTTATCTTAATACTTCCCTGAAAAAACTGAAGCTATTGAAGATAACCCTCTTAATTTCCTTCTAATTCCAAATGTATTGACATATTCACCCACCCTCCCCTATCTCCTATAAAGTTCCTTTCCAGCACTAATCAGTCCCTCCCTGTATATGCCTACATCTAGTTCTACCAATCATCTCTTAATTTTTTAAATTTACGTTTTCTGTTCCTTTCTTCTTCTTGGTCTACAGTTATGCCCTAATAATAGCTTTACCCTAAGATTTCTGAACTTCCCTTCCTCTGCATTTCCACCATCACTTCCTTGGTGCAGGTCCTCATCATCTTTTGCCTAGCTTAATGAAGTTGCCTTCTTTATAGTCTCTCTGCCTACAGTTTTCCCCTTCATGTTTTCCTCCTTTTTGCAGCAGAAGACCATTCTGAAGCAAATCCCATCACATTACCTCCTGAAATTCATGTGCTACTCGACAACTGTTAATTTGTGAAGCAAGTTACAATTAACTTTTCTGGAAATTGATGAAGTATTAAAGTTTATTAGTAGTTAAAAAATAAACTAGAACAGATTCAACGAATTCCTGTAATGACATCACTTTCACTTACTTGCATTCAAGGAAACTTTTTCTGAGCAGGTGGAAAGGAAGATAGATTAAAGCTCATGTTTTCAGAATCGTGCATAACCCAGCCCAACAAATTGACACCACGACGTGTGGTGCACCACCGTATTGAAGTACTGATGATTGTCCTGCTGATTCTGAGTCATTGTGGTAGCTATCAGTTGTTTCAAACTAATGGAAATGAATCACAGTCATGTTGGTTATAGTACCAAACAAGATTGAAACCTGCTGGCGAGCGTTTTCCCAGCACGACCATCCCTCTCTAGCCCCGTTTTCATGACGCAGTTTGTGCCCCCTGACATTTACCCACACTAAGATCATTTACTGTCCTGTGGACCAGCCAGCATTTCCACACTTGGGCCTTTATGCATGCTATTCTTGCCATCCAGAATCCCCTTCTCTGGGCGATAATTCCTCAAGATGCAGATCAATCAAATGTCGCTTCCTCTGGGAGGTTCTTCCCCTCCTCTGTGTGCCCATAGCATTGTGTTGTATTGGAACGATTTGCTTATGGGTCTCTTTCCCAGAACTGTCTTTGGGAACCCAGGGAAATAAATGATTAATTCATACTAACCAAAACCAAAAACCAAACTCGTTGCTGTTGAGTCGATTCCGACTCATAGAGACCCTATAGGACAGAGTAGAACTGCCCCATAGGTGGATTCAGAGTGCTGACCTTTTGGTTAGCAGCTGTAAGGCTCCATGGAGGAGGTTGTGTATTAACTCATTTGTGAAGGATAAATAGGAGTATTCTGGGTTGAGAAAACTAGCATTGGCAAAGGATAGAGGCGTGAATGCATGGAATATGGGAAATGAAGAGAGAACTTCAGTTTCTGAGAAGCATTTCCAGGCTTTTCTATTAAGTTCATTTAAATTAAGAATGACATTAAAATCTTTGAAATATAGTGACTAGCCATTGCCTGAAATTTCTTACCGTGTTTAGATTGCTTTTAATAGTTATGAGCAACTTGAATCATGTCCTATTGGCCGTTAATTATTATCCAAAAGGCATAAAACTTGTATCAGGTAATTTCTATTATTCCTATACCACCCAATTACATGTTAATCTATACTTCTACAGGCACATTTTATTTTATATAAGCTCTGCTCAAGGAGAGTGATTTAAAATAATCATACTGCTTACATTGGTTAGCAAATGAGAAAATATTATTCTAGGGAGGCAAAGTAATGTATTTCAGTAAGATTAGCTCATAGAGGCAGTTTACTATTAATACTTATATGGAAAATTAGTGATTATTTGTACTCCTTCTGGCTTATCACTGATTAGAAGCAAATTCTGTGATTTACTAATTACTAATAATCTTTCATTGACTTACATTTCTTCCTGACTTGTATTCCTGATCTTATATGTATGTTTTCTTCTGAATTATAAACTCAGCTTTAAAGGGAACCACACTGGTCTTTGATATAAATTGCCTCAAATTACAAAACACACTAATACACATAGTACATAAATATGATTTCGGCTACAGGAAGTAGTTCTTATGGGTAATAAACTTGTCAGCTCAATTTACTACCCTGTGGTAGTTCTGGCTGCCAACAACCTAAATAGATTTTCTTGTCTTTTCAGTAAATTGACAATATTTAATAATTATTTTTAAAATTCTGCAAATGTGGTCTCAATTTAATTTTTATGTAGGCTTTTATTGGAATATGGTGTTTTTTTTTCTTTTAAAAAATGTTTTTAAGTGTTCTTAACTTTCATTTATATCCTCCTTTTCTAGGTAGAGGAGCAGTCTCAGAGCCTAAAGGAGTTTTACCGAACTGCAGTCTCTTGGAAGGAAGGGGATGATGCTAAAGCCAAGTATTGGTGTGACTCAGCTGAGAAACAGTGGCAGCTATTTTTAAAGAAGAGTTTTTTCACCCAAGACCTAGGGCTTGAGTTCCTTAATTTAATAAACATGGTGAGAATGATATTCAATAAATGATACCTTCTGCAAGGAATTCTTGTCAAAGTCAAAATCATAAATTCAAAAGTTCAGCTGTCTATTATTAGTTAGCAGTGCTGGCTTCGGAAGTTCTTTTTAGCTTCATTCAACCTAAAGCAGGCCTGAAGCCCAGTGTTTATATGTGCGCTTGGTCCTAGATCTCTGTTAGTTTATAACATGAAGTTATTTTAACTATCAAGAAGATAGAGTGCCTACAATCCAAATGCATCTTTGTTATTATTATGTAGTCCTCGGTAGAATTCCAGCCAGACGTTCCGAGTTATGTTGAGAACATGCAACAAAGTCCTTATAAAATTGCCATTGGCTAAAGCTAAGGTCCAGGGTAAATCTTCATTTTGAAAATTTTTTTGCTATAGCAGATCTTTCTTATAGTGATGCTCCATTACATTTAGTAGCATACGCTGCGGTTCAGTTGTCCTCAGTTGTCTGTATAGAATTCTCATGTCAATCTCTGACCCATATAAAATTCCCTGTAAAACTCCTAAAGTCTGGTATTCCACCTCCCTCTCCTTTGATACCTCAAGTATCTTCCTAATGAAACTACTCGTTCTGTAGTTGAAAAACACCGGCTGCTGGAAAACTTTTTAAAAAATGTTAAATCAACTCTGTCCTCATAACTGGTCCTAGCCCTCTGCAGCTACACAGGTAAAAAAAAAAAGGTATTCATTTAATTCCTCTTATATATGAAAGTCCTTCAGACATTGAAAGCAATTGCTATTTCTAACCTGAGTTTTTTTCTGCAGCTAAACACATAAACATCCTTTCTGCCATTTAAGAGGTAGCTTCATTTCCCTCTCCATCCTTATCTCCCTCCCCTGCATTCTCTGTGGTTTTTCAAACTCATACATAAAATGTAGCCAAAAAAAAAAAAAAGTGAAGGACAGTACTTCAGCACAGAGTACAACAATCTGAGTGTTATTCTTTACTAATGAGACCTAAGATTATGCTAACATTTTTAGTAAGAATTTCACTTTACTGGGATATATTAAGCTTGTGATTGAGTAAAATTCCCATTACATTTTTATTACAATTCCTGCCAAGTTAGGTCTCTCATCTTATAATCTGTGTCACCATCTTTCTCAAGCAAATGCAGGCCTTTCTGTTTATTCCTGTTTAATTTCTTTTTGTTAGTCTTCACTCATGATTTACCTGTTATCTGCTATGTTTACCATCCCTCCTGGGTTTAATTCTGTAATTTGATAAGTATGCCTTCTATGGCTGTAATTAGATCTTTAATAAAAGTGTCTAAAGGGCAGGTTGCATTCCAGTCCATTAAGCAATCAGTTGATTAACCAGTTTTTAAATAATCATTGACGCTTGAATTCAACCACTATTTCACACTCTTATTCTAAGGCTTTAATGGGAGACTTTCTCAAATACACTGCTCAGAACAAGGCATACCTACCTAGTATCCTATCAGTTCATAAATATAATTTGGCGTAAATCAGGCTGCACGTAGGATTGCAGTGGGAACCAACTCAACGGCACCTAACAACAGCAGCATAAATCAGGTTGACACCTAGCAATTAGGGCATTCTTTTCAAAATACTCACAAGCTATTTGGTAAGTGATAAATGTATTGTACTGGTTTTCAATGGGAAGCCTACCAATCTGTAAATTGTGTAGCCCAAATGTTTCTGCTTTTGAAAATCAGAGCGTTTTCCTTTCTCTCATTTTCTGGCCCTTCTCCTATCTTCTGTGTATTTGCAAAGATAACTGGTGTCTGCAATGTTCTCAGTACGCTGGGATGTGATTAATCTTAGTCTGGAGCTTGAATTCATTTGGAAGGGTTAGGTTCTGTCTAACGATCATCATCTACCTTGAGGTACAATTTTCTCTTCATCTTCTTTGTTTCAGAGTTTGTTGTTTGATGACCATTCTTGTTCCGTGTATTTGGGAACAATATATGCATTAAATCCCCTGTGCGTGTGTCAGTTTGTCGTACTGTGGGGGCTTGTGTGTTGCTGTGATGCTGGAAGCTATGCCACTGGTTTTCAAATACCAGCAAGGTCACCCATGGTGGACAGGTTTCAGCTGAGCTTCCAGACTAAGACAGACTAGGAAGAAGGACCTGGCGGTCTACTTCTGAAAAGAATTAGGCAGTGAAAACCTTACGACAGCAACAGAACATTGTCTGATACAGTGCCGGAAGATGAGCCCCTCAGATTGGAAGGCACACGCAATGGCTGCAACAATGGGCTCAAGCAAAACAGCAATTGTGCGGATGGCAGGGAACTGGGCAGTGTTTCGTTCTGTTGTACATAGGGTCGCTATGAGTCAACCAACTTGATGGCACCTAACAACAACAACAACAAATGCATTAAATAATCATAATTAATCTAATATCATCTTTGAGCACCAGAGACAACTTGCTGAGCAATTTGCCTATGTCTCTATTTTATACAAGATCTTTATTGTAAAAAACAGTCAAGTTATTGTTCATTCGGAACATTTGTTTTTTAATATTGTATTTATTACCTATATATTTTTAAATTTATGCTTGGTTCAGTACATCTTCCGTCTAATTTGTACTCATAAGAGAATTCAAATATTTACAAACTGCATTTTTTAAATCCTTTTTATTACTAAACTTAATTCCAGAAATTTTATTTTTCAGTTCTGGAATTTTCAGTTGGTTCCTTCTTACTGGATTTAAATTGCTAATGAAATTCTCTTTCTTGTCTTCTCTTTTCTCTACCTTTCCTATACTTTCTAGAAACGTAAGGTATTTAAAAGTGCTTGTCATCTAATACCAACATCTGCATCTGGAGCTGTTTCTATTGTCTACTTTTTCTCTTGGTTTCTGGTCATGTGGTCCTGTCTTTTGGCAGGAGTAGTGAATATTTATCAAATAACAGGCATTGTATAGGATGGTGTTCTCTTCTAGAGAGAGGGTCCACAATTCTTTCCCTGGTAAGATGACTTGGTGGGAGATCACTTAATCCAATCAGGAACTGTGCAAAGTTGAGTCTGGAGTATAGTCCTGTAAGGCTCAGTCTACCTCGGATTCACGTTGGCTCTCCAGGGTTTTCAACAGAGCTTGGTGCATTTTCTGAGATTTCTGCCCCTGAAACATTCTGAACTCTGATCTTTGTATTGAGAGATTGCTGAAACACTCCACTCTGCTTTTCAGAGGTTTTTGCTTAGGTTTTTAATGCACTGCCCTGCACAGCCTCAGTCCTTAGAGGAAGATCAACTGTGTGATTGACGGCCCTACTGCCCCAAGTATCTGCCAAAAGTTCTGCTGGTTTCTCAGTTCCCCATCAAAGCCCCAATTCTCCTGTCAGTGTATGCAATTGTCCATGGAGTAAAAGTGGTTATAGGTCAGCTCACCCCGCTCAGATTCTCTTCTCTCCAAAGTCTTAGCCTCTTTGGATCTTGCTGCCTGCCTCAGCAGCTTTCTGCTGCCTTCAATGAGATGTTTTCTGCATTTTATCCAGAGTTTCTAGCTGTTCTAGGCAGAAGAACTGCTCTGTCAGCAGCTACTCTGTCGTATATAGAAATAAAAGGGTTTTTTTAATTACTTTTTTACTTATTACTTATTTAGAATGTTTAAGTCTCTAGTCCCTGGAGAAGGACATCATGCTTGGTAAAACAGAGGGTCAGTGAAAAAGAGGAAGACCCTCAACGAGATGGATTGACACAGTAGATGCAACAATGGGCTCAAGCATTAAACGCTTGTAAAGATGGCACAGGGCAGAACAGTGTTTTGTTCTGCTGTACATAAGGTCGCTATGAGTCGGAACCAACTCGACGGCACCTAAAAACAACCACAAAGTTTGTACAGTCAGATTTTCATTATTTAAGGGGAGCCTACCCACTTCAAATCATATTTTGTATCTATGTTCTAAATAAACTTAGGTTATCATGACACTTAAATGCCCGTTTAGTTGCTAGAAATAGTGTGTGTTTTACTCTGTGCTTGGGTGTTCTCTTTCCTTGACATTGTAAACATGGTCACTTAATCCCAAGGTTTCTATCACTGTCATATGACAAATAAGTTCCAACTCAATGACAAGAATTAAGGCTCTTAACTTTATTGGTTCAGAGAGATTCTGAGAAATGAAGTTGTTGGTAAAGTAAGTAAAACACATTTTTTATTCTGTTCATACATTTTGGACAGTTTGGACATAACAGATTTGGTTGTTAAGAAGGAAGAGGGCCAGCTGGCATTTTCGGTTGAATGTGCTGCTCTTGACTGGGTTACTGTGGCTCCTATTTTATAACTGCAGATGGAAAATTTTCTAGTTCATCTAGAAATCATCAAAATTGGAGAAACTGATTCAAGCCAAAATCCTGGCAAACTTCTTTATGAAAGTGCCAATTTATTAATTTATAGTGATGAATACCAAGTCTGCTATCCTGGGTACTGCCTTCCTGTTATCAAGATATCTGGAAAACAAGACATCAGAAGACTGTTTACTGTGTATAAATCTAAACAGAAGATGGATAATTCAGTTACTTATTTTGAACAAAGTGTGGCAGAATTTTCCATGCTCTGTCATAAAAGTAGAATGAATAGAATGTGTTTACTAACTAGACTGTGGGAAAATTATTTAACCTTCCTGAGTGGCCAGAATACTTAAATCTGCCAAATACACATTCACTCTTCCTTAGATCCTGCTAGCTGAACATCAACAAATCCTAGTATAGCTCTCTCTTTTGCATATCTCTCTCAAGCCACCATACCATTCTGTTTGTAATTGTCATTGGGTACACTTTCCAAGATTACATTCAATTATACATTATGTTACATTTTGATTAATAGTTTCTTTATAAGACGTGAAAGATAGCCTAACTTTATTTATAGCATAAAACCAAAAACCAAACCCATTGCCGTCCAATCAATTCCGACTCATAGTGACCCTGTAGGACAGAGGAGAACTGCCCCGTAGGGTTTCCAAGGCTATAATCCTTACAGAAGCAGACTGCCACGTCTTTCTCCCACAGAGTGGCTGGTGAGTTAAAACCGCCGACCTTTTGGTTAGCGGCCAAGTGCTTAATCACTGTGCAACCAGGGCTCCTATTTATAGCATAGATATAAAATATGCTTTTGAGGTGGGTTCCTGCTGTAATTAACTAATATCTTTTATAGTATATTGAATCTTTTTTTATCATAGTTACAAAATATAGTTCAGTTCTTAACAAAAAGTGAGTAACTTGAGGAACTGCTCACAAGGAAAAGTTAAAATAATTGTAATATATACAACAGGATAGTTAAGAAAAAAAAAAACAAGAGGCCCCCCCCCAAAGCTTACCCCCTCGTATACTCTGATACTGAGATTTTAACATATTCTAATGGGTACATTAAAATAATAGGTGGGATATACTTTAAAAATAATGCATTAAAAGTATTTTGATTTCAAAATTCTGGATTCTGGAGCTTTTTAAATCCTTTCTTAAACCCCAGGAACTAGCCAGAACCTAAGGAGAAATTCAGACACCCCCGGGGTCTTGAAGAACTCAGGGCTGATGTTCAGCATAGAAGGGGTTCTGAGAGCGTAACTGTGCCTGCGCACAAGGAACCCAGACTTGTCTGAACATCAGAACCATGTGCCCTGCTTTGACTGTGGTAAAGCGTTTTACTTCCTACAGTAGTTGCATTCAAAGTTGTTTTATCTCTTGGAGAAGAAACATAGTTATATGGATTATTCATTTAACAGGCACAAGAGAATGAGGTATTAAATGTGAAAAATGAGCTGCATATTATGGGGAACACTGTGGAGGACCAGAAGGCAGAAAGGGAAGAACTTTCCTGCCTTCGGGTGGCCTGGCAAGTTAAAACCACTGAAAACAAGCCTGTGAAACAGCAGTGGGGAGCATTCAAAGAGCAACTCAAAAAGGTAAAGGAAATCCAGGGCTTGTATTTTTGTTCATTGGTGCTTTAGAACCACGAGCTCAGTCCAGGTAGTGCATGTTTTCATGAGGATTGAGTTTAATGACAGTGAGTCATCACTAAAATGAGTGTGAAGTATTTGCAGATGGTGTCAAAGAAAGCATACACATAACTATTCAATATTTATTTCAGACTACTCACAACTTAAAAGTTCTTCAGGAAGCACTTATGCCTGTGTCTGCACTTGACCTTGGAGGAAGCCTCCAGACCGTTTTAGATCTACGGAGAAAATGGAATGAAATGAAGCCTCAGTTCCAGGTGAAGGCATAGGTTGATGGACTTGGGTGAATAGAACATAATTTAAAAACTGTTATGTTGCAATTCACCTACTTAATTTTAACAGCCTGGGGAATTACTTTTTTTTTTTTTTTTTTTTAATATTTGTCTAAAAATTCACTGTAAAAACAATTTTCTTACTGTATTTCTACACTGTTTTGTATTTGATGATACATGAATATTAAGGTCACAAAATGTCTTTAATATATTTTTATCTTAGATTATTTCAATTTATATTAAATTATTTGCATATTAGTACATTTATTATACATATAGCTTCTAATTATTTTTCTAGAGAGTATGGACGTGTTTTAGATTGAGGCACCTCAGACAAAGGATGGGCTCTGCAGCCCTCAGCCCCTAAAGTTGTCACTGATGTCCGTGTCCCCAGGGTACCCCAGGCTCCTCCCACCATCGCAGGATTTTTGCTGTGTTCTCTCATTCACCCTCAGAGTGATAAAATGAGTCATGTTCCTGGCTTTTCACTGCTTAGCATTCCATACCCCCTCCTCCCATCTCTGCTCCATACCCCCCTCCTCCTATCCCTGCTCCATACCCCCTCCTCCTATCTCTGCTGCATACCCCAATCTTATCTCTGCTCCATACCCCCTCCTCCTATGTCTGCTCCATACCCCCTCCTCCTATCTCTGCTCCATACCTCAATCCTTCTATCGCTGCTTCATATCCCCTCCTCCTATCTCTGCTCCATACCTCCTCCTCCTAACTCTGCTCCATACTCCAATCCTCCTGTCTCTACTCCATACCCCCCTCCTCCTATCTCTGCTCCATACCTCCTCCTAACTCTTCTCCATACTCCAATCCTCCTGTCTCTGCCCCATACCCCCCTCCTCCTATCTCTGCTCCATACCCCAATCCTCATATCTCTGCTAAGCTTGACAGACTCCCAAAAATGGTTACCAGTCACATTATCCTTCTGCCTGCATTCTTATTCTTTGCTACAAAATTAGGACACCTGTGCTTCTGTCTGTCACGACTTCATACGTGTTGACTTTGAAGAATCCCAGAATCAGACGACTGAAGATTTCTTTAGGGAATATCTAATTGTAGGTTCCTTTAAGACAAAACTGATGTAATATATATAACTACCGTCATGCCCCACAAGCACACACCATTGTAGCCTGAAGTGACCTAACTTTTTCCTCCATACTTCTAGAAGATGTCTCAACTAGCCCACAGGTTAGGTTGCTTGATATACCCTGCATTGTATACTTATTTGCATTGTGTGTGTATGTGTGTGTGTGTGTGTGTGTATGTAAGTTCCTCTAAGTCAGGGACCATTGCCAAGCTTCGTTAGCTCTATCACTGTAATGTGCATATATTACATGCCCACTTGCTTGATTTTGACTTGAACATTCTTTTTAGGTCACTTTCCTGAAAATTATCTTCTTAGACTGAATTATTTCCATCGCGTTTACCTTTGATACATGAGCCATCCCTGAAATTTTATAGGAGCTCCCTCTTTAAGTTGTCTACCCTTTTTAAGTTCTACCCCAGGATCTGGACACCTTTAAGGGATATCTGAGCAGTGTTAGGTAAAAGGGAAGGCAGTTTATCCCTCCCCACACGTGGTGGCTATTTGTGGATTCCAGCATGACTGCCTTCAAAACAGCATAGCCACTGCGCCGTTCAGCTGCTGCTTCATTCTCATCATTCCCCCATTATATTTTTACACTTGTCTTCTCTTGGTGCTCTTACAATACCATCTGATTCTAGCCTGTATTAAATATCAGAGATGATTATAGGGATTCATAAAATATTCTAAAATACTTTTACTTAGCAGATGATTAGAATATTTGGTGTGTCATAGAAATAATATGTGACTTTCCATTCCACCACTCTAACTTTAAAACTTTTACCATGACCATTTTAATAAAACACTTTTATGCATTATACTCTCTTTCTTTTTTTTAATTTCTGAGAAGATGAGGATGGAATAACATATCCATAGCAGCAAGCGAGTGGTTAAGAACTATGCCTGCTAACCAAAAGGTCAGCAGTTCAAATCCACCAGCCGCTCCTTAGAAATCATATGGGGCAGTTCTACCCCATCCTGTAGGGTCACTCCAAGTCAGAATTGACTCGACAGCAACAGGAACAGGAGCAGCAAGCACAGTGCCTGGAATCTTGGAGGGCCCATAATAAGTATTTGTTAACAAATGAGAGAATTATGTGTTATTTAGATCTTCATTATTATCGATTGTAAAGTAAAAACTCTCCATAAGCTGGATTTCTTTTATTGCTTTAAATTTTTTAGCAACTGAATGATGAGGTTCAGTACATTATAAAAGTATCAGAAGAGTTAAGTGGTAAAGGAGCCCCTGTGAAAGAGAAGTCTCAACAAGTGAGGGATCTTATTCGCCTCCATCAAAAACAGAGAGAGAGAATCCGAGATTATGAGGATATCCTATATAAAATAGTTCAGTTCCACCAAGTAAAGGAAGAGGTAAGACCTGTAATGAATGCCTGGGAGACCTTGAATTTTAAACTATGGAATTAAAAAAAATGTATTGTGTATTAAATAAAGGCCAAATTGCTTATTGTGATATTAGAAGATTTACAAAATCTGGCCCTAAACTTCTCTGTCACTATGCCCCTATTCTCCTTTATGTTTCAGCCATGCTGAGCCCCTCTGGGTCCCTCAGATGATGCACACATTCCTACTCCATGCCCTGACCCGCAGGTGCCTGTACTTGCGGGGTCCTTCTCTCCACTATCTAAACCCTGTACTTTCTTCCATCGACCTTGCCCCACTTGGAGTGATGTCTCCCTCTTCTAAATTCCTAGAGCTCTCATTGCTTGTTTCACACATCTGACATTTTTACCATCTTGATTCTTTTTGATAGACATAGCTTTTATTTCCCAACTCAAGTATAAGCTGTTTGACGGCAGAAACCAAGTTCAATTTCTTTGTATCTTGAGTACCTGAGATGGTGAAATGCTCAGTAAATTTTTTTTTTTAAACCTCGTAGTTATTATCCGTTAACACAAAAGGGAGGTATATTCATATCTCTTTAAAACAACCTTCTGAATTTTCTCAGATCATAGACATAGTTCTTGGTAAGGTTTTATGCTCTGAGCAGAAAAAATGTTTTCTTCTTTAATAGAACTGACAATGTTGGTCCCTCAATTTTACGCACTTAATTTGCAACATTGTAACATTTGTTTAAGGAGCCCTGGTGGCACAATGCTTAAGCGCTCAGCTGCTAACCAAAAGGTCAGCGGTTCGAATCCACCAGCTGCTCCTTGGAAACCCTATGAGGCAGTTCTTTTCTGTCCTGTAGGGTTGCTATGAGTCAGAATCGACTCAATGGCAATGGGTTTGGTTTTTTTATGGGTGGCACAGTGGTTAAGTGCTAGGCTGCTAACCAAAAGGTCGGTGGTTTGAACCCACTTGCCATTCTGTGGGAGAAAGATGTGGCAGTCTGCTTCCATAAAGATTACAGCCTTGGAAACCCTATGGGGCAGTTCTACTCTGTCCTATAGGGTTGCTATGAGTTGGAATTGACTTGATGGCAATGGGTTTTGTTTGTTTGTTTATTTAATGTTTATTTGGTTATGGCACTAGTAATTATGGATGGTCTGGGCAGCATTTTTACCAGCTAGTATGAAGTGGACTTAAAAAAAAAACTTTCTTTAAGGCATTTTATAAATGTGAAACCCATGTTAATTGTTAATACCCTAAATTCCAGCTGGGACAGCTCATCAAATCAAGAGAACTAGAGTTTCTAGAAGAGCCGAAGGAACTGAGTGATGCTCACGATGTCCAGGTTGACCTCAGTCGCTCGCAGGAAAAGCAGGCACATATAGACCATCTCTATAAGCTGGCCCTTTCCTTGGGAGTGAGCATCATCTCATCAATGCAGCAGCCTGTAAGCAACTTAAACACCATTATTTGTACCTGACTGTAGCTGGGACTTGGAATATAATGTGAACTAAACCAGATTGCCTAGTATATGGTAAATGAAAAATACATTAAACCATTGGGGCAATTATTTGTGGGAAGTTTGTATCATCTATAACAAAAGCAAGGAGCCCTGGTGGCACAATGGCTAAAGCGCTTGGCTGCTAACTGAAAGGTTGGCGATTGGAACCCATCTCAGCTCCATGGGAAAAAGATGTGGCAGTCAGCTGCCATAAAGATTACAGTAGGAAACTCCATGGGGCAGTTCTACTCTGTCATATAGGGTTGCTATAAGTCAGAACACTTTTAAGTATGTTGGGAACAACTTGGGTTTGTGAATCTACTTTTTAAACTGTAAATTTTATAAAACCTAAACACATAACAAATATTTTTGATAGAAATTTAGCAACAGAATTGAGATGTGCTCTAAGTCTGAAATACACACCATATTTCAAAGGCTTAGTAAAAAAAAATATTAATAATTTTTATACTGGTTACAGGTCAAAATGATATTTGGATATTGTATTAGTCATCTAGTGCTCCCATAACAGAAACACCACAAGTGGATGGTTTTAATGAAGAGAAATTTATTTCCTCACAGTAAAGTAGGCTAAAAGTCCAAATTCAGGGCGTCAGCTCCAGGGGAAGCCTTTTTCTCTCTGTCGGCCTTCTTCTCTTCGGCGTTCCCCTGGACTAGGAGCTTCTCTGCACAG